GTTTTACTGTGAACGTCCTTCTCTGTTTTCAGAATTTCTGGATGATAACAAATCTTTGTGTGTCCAGGAGAGATGTCAGTGAAAGGACACAATAACCTAAAGCTGTGTTTTTGTAAGTACTTTCAAACAGATACTTGTAGCTATACCTTTTATTGTGCAATTTTCAGGAACGGACGGTGAAAATATCGACACTAATATATAGGAAGAAGATCCGGACTGCTTTGTTATGTTACTTGATACTTTAGAAGGATACTGCCTCACGTCACTACCAGATGGCAGGATGAAATTCTTAAGTAGAGTACTTAGCAAAAGCTAACCATCCTTTTTAATTTATAGATGTCCCACAAGAAATTTTGTAAGAACAAAATAATTTTTAAAAGAAATTCAGCTCCTTGTTAGTGAATGATTTTATCTTTGTAATTATTATTATTTAGATTTTAATCCTTTTTCATCATTTGACACCACTTTGCTAACAATGATTCAGACATAATTGTTCAAATATAATATGATGGTAATATTTTCCATGTTGTGAACTTTTGAAATAATTAAAGATCTTTCTATGAATCATTAAACAAACATGAATTTGAAAATTTAAAAAAAAAAATTTTTAAATAGTTATTATTCATCAGTTTTTAATTAAATATTCGATATATAACAAATATTCCAAAGATATTAAAAATTCGTTATGGTGTTACACCTGAGACATTAAAATTCATTATAAAGTTCGCTGACTTTATAAACTCTCTTATACAAAATAAATTTATTAGTAAATGAAATTCAAAGTGCATAGTAAATTCTCGAAAATTATCTTCAGTTTAAAGAAGAAGGATTATGCTAACTTAATTAAAAAAAAGGTAGATAAAATATTTGTAATTATCAATCATTAATTATTAACTTTAATATACTTTTTCATAAATGATGTCTTAATTAGAAGAGATGTTTGATTCCAAAATTGTGAAAATTATCCCATTACTCATATCCTTTTGATATTAAATAGTATAAAATTAAAATATAAGAAAATCAATTTCTTGGTTTAATTTCAACTAATAATTCTTTACAAGCAGTTACAACGCCGTCACTCATAGTTTTAATAGGAGCATCCATATCTACTAAATTAATTTCATATTTCCTAAACAATAAAGCCATCAAACAAACTAATTCAATCATTGCCAACTTTCTTCCTGGACATAATCTTAATCCTCCACCAAACATGATAAAAGAATTCTTCTTTGGCTCAAAATTTTCAACCATCCATCTATCAGGGTTAAATTTATTGGGTTCTTCCCAATAATCATCACAATTATGAATAGCTTTAATATTAATTAGAAACAATGTGCCAGCTGGCCATTGATATCCCGCTACTTCATCAGGTTTATCAATACACCTTGTAAGCATGTGCTTAATTGGGAAAACGCGAGCTGCTTCTTTCACAATTGCTTCACAGTAACTTAAACTATAAAAATCATCTTTAGTAATTGATCGCGTTTTATCACCTTGGAATATACTATCAATTTCTTCTAGCATTTTTTTTTTCACATCTGGATTATGTGAAATATAATAAATAATGAATGTAAGCATATTCGCACTCTATATATATGAAATAAAAAAAAACGAAATGGTTAATATAATTTCAAGTTAAAACACATTGCATTTCGATGATTAAAATTGTAAAATAAACCTAAAACATGAATTTCTTCAAAAAATATACTTACTTTATAAGTTCCACTAAGAATTCCATCAAATAAATTAACGCGAATTTCAGTATCAGTCATAGGTCTATCGATTTCACCAGTTTCAATATAATTATTATCACGAAGTGTATTTTTGATAATCATCGACGTCAACATATCATGCGGTAAAGGTTCGTCCAATGGTATATCTCCAATTTCTTTTCTACGTCTCTTAATCATTGCATTTAGCTTTTGATCAATAAAATCCTTATTTCGAAGTAAATCATCTGCTTTATTTTTAAAATATGGAACATAATTTCGTAACAAAGGTGAAACTATGAAAAATATTAAATATCCTATAAGAAGATTACTAAGTGCTTGAACAAATTTAACAGAATCATTGATTATTGCTGATGGAAAATGAGATTTTTCATCACTAAAAGTATCAAAATAAGCTGCCATTGTATAAGATTTTGCACCAGTTAACAAACTAATAATCATATCATTTGTGTAATGGTTAAACCACTTTGAAAAATCCAATTTATTTTTATTTTCTTTAATAAATTCTTCTTTAAGAAACAATCTATCCCAATAATTTTCTAATTCATTGAAAAGCTTGTTAATACAATCAATAGCTTCATCAGCAAATTTCGGTGACAAAATAGTTTGATTAAAAAAATGACGATTAAACATCCACGTTTTAAAATTATCATTTAATGATAGTCCCCATTCTAATCCTTTGCGATTTGGAAATTTCAACCCATGCGTACTTTCAGATAAAAGATCTTCAAGGTATTCTCTTCGACATAAAACTATAGTTCGTACACTTCCACGTATACTTCCATAAAGCTCATATATGTCACCATATTTCTCATAACAATTACTATAAAACTTTTGGGCATCTTTATTAATCCAAGGAAAATAACCAATGAATGGGAATGGGAATGGGAATGGACCAGGTATAGGATTGACACGAGTAAAATATTTGTAATAATAATGTGCTATGCAGACTATTAATATTGTATTCGACAAGAAGATATAATCATTAATTTCAAAATTCCCAAGTAGTTTAAAAAACATCTTAATTCCTTATGTTGTATAATAACTTCTTCAGTTCTAAATTTTCTCAGGTATATATACTGTATAAAATATATATAAGATATATATATTCGTTGTATTTACTAGACTATTCCAACTTAATTGTTTGTTTAATATCCAGATTTTCTGAAAAGTGTGAGGGGGAATAATTATATGTTTATATTTTTTAAGGGGCTGTGTTACGTTAAACATACTTATAATCCGCAAATATACATTTAACATCACGTTATTCTAAATTTGATTCAAGATGTGCTGATCGTCAAATTATTAGGTATGACTTTCACATGACTCATACTTTACCATCTCATTCAACTGCGTTGGTATCCCGAATGCCATTTTCTCTGAATATATCATTTCCTGAAGAATAATTTTTCGATTCCACATTTCCAAAATTGGGTCATTTCCTGAAATTCTATTTTCCCTAATATTAATAATATATCCCAAATGGACATTTTACTGGATTTAATGATGTATAACAATTTCTTTTTTTAGAATAGATTTTTTATTTATATTTAATAAATCACAATGACAAAATAACATTGATTATACAAAAGCCTTAATAAAATGATTATACAATTTGTACATAAATTTTACGATCATCTGATCTACTACGCAGTAATTATTACTATACAGTAAGTACATAGATTTATTATAAACTTGGCAATAAAATTCTTAATGCAATAATTCCTTAATCCTTGTTATCATTTCCATATAAATAAATACATGTATTATGAAAAAAGTATAGTCTAGATATTGGAATTGAAATTCGGGAATTGAACTTAAGGAAGTTTGGTTGTATTCGGGAAATTGGAATTTCAGGAAATGATCCAGTTCGGGAAATGAGCATTCAGAAAAACGACTTCGAGAAATGGTATATTTGGGAAAATGGCATTCGAGAAAAGGTAACATAATAAATTTATGAAGCTGTATGTAATAAAAGTGAAATAATTGATCTACTTATTGCCAGGAAAGTAAATCATTTAAAAGTAGAAGTTGAAGGAAATGTACATAAAGGCTGATCATTTATAACGATATCCATTATCCATAGTATTGACACGTGAGTATGTCTTATTAAGATCGTCAGGGGCCAACGATATTCTGAAGCTTCTTGGCAGATTCGACTGTATCATATCCAATTTGTAAATTAATGTGTTGGTTATATTTGTTTCTTTACGTCATACATTTTCAATTTTGCGAAACTAGCCAGAAATAAACTTAAACAATAATTATTTGTGAGTTTTTTGTTTAAATTGATCAACAAAGCCTAGCCCCGTAAAATATCTCCTATGGATTGCGACATCGGGATCATGTAGACCGTTCAGTAAAAAGGGTAGCGTAACTTTTATATAAAAAAAGGCATGATCTTGAATGGTATGCACAGTGATACAATTATTAAATGGGAGGGTAACATATCAGTCACTCCGATGAGATGATCGATATTTTTATCCCTATCCAATAATCCAATAATCATTATATAATTCGGGATCCTAACAGAGCATAAAAATATAAATCACATGCGATACAATACATTAAAGCGGTATATATTAAATTTATACAAAATAATATACATTTTTTAATTTACTTACATAATAATAACAATATAGATAACAGTACATTCTTTAAAAATAAGAAAGTCAATTTCTTACACATGCAACTATCACAATTATCATACTGACATAAATAATTTTCATAAGAGAATTCATATCTAACATTAATATGGTGATTAGCAAGATGAAGTAATCACTTACCTACCTACTAATGATGAAATTCAAAAAGAAAAAATGATGACGAATCCTTGAAGGGAGAAAAAAGGTCATTGAAAGAATTAAAATCGGTTATGATCAGCTTAGAGCATCTTCTATTTTAAAAAATTTCGAAAAGATTTTATTTTATTGTTAGTAAATGCAAGAAATATGGTTTGGAAATTACAAAGTTCCACCTTCTTTTTGGAGAATATTGGTTAATTTTCCGTAACATTAAAATTTTATATTTTATATTTTAGTATCCAAATATTTGTAAAGAACTATCAACCATTGACTTGTGTTTAATAAAATTCTTATGTAAAAGATAGCCAAAGCAAAGACGATGTGGACGAGAGTGAAGTCTTGTTAAATTCAACGGTATGTTTGTAAGTTACAGTATCTTAATTAATTATCGTCCGTTGAAAGGATACGGGAAAATGCACAATTCCGCAACACTAAAAATATGATTTGGATACGGGATTTACAGGGAATTTATACGGATTTACTTGATTCTGAATTTACTATTTATATAATCTTCCATTAATTAAATTAGTCAAAATCGTTAGATTTGGGATATCCTCAATGATGAAGAACCATTTTCTCTGAATGCTGCCATCATACTTACTGTAAAGCATAAATCTTACAGTTATTACTACTATAGTTGTATTTAGTGACAATTTGACATATTATCATGTTCTCTTCATTATTTCATACATTATTTTTTTGTCACTATTTCGTATATTATTCTTTCATTTCTTTTTTGATACTATGATGTTAAGAGAATATTAGACAAATAAAAACATATGAATGGAATAAACGTTCTGTAAATATAAATTCATGTATAATGTAGTATTTTATTTATTCACATGAGTGTAAAAATATCTGCAAGAAATAGTAATATTACTAAACAAGTTCTTTGGGTAAGAATAAACTAACCTTTTTTTTTTACAGATCATATTGCATACGTATTAATAAAATTTCCGAAATTCAAATGATTCATAAACATTAAATTAAAAATTTTGGGTTTATCTATTATCCGGTAAAACCATTGTTATTTTCATTTTTTTTTCATTTAATTCCATTTCCTTTTTTTTAGAAAATGTTTTTTATTCATGAATTTGGTAAAAGTGATGTAAAAAACTCCTGCAAAAAGCAACGTCAATTGATATTGACGTCATTTAAACTCATTAATTATATAATCTTTTAACAACTTTAATTTTTTTTTATATGATAGGGCACTTTTACTTACAGCTGATATTAAAACATTGAATCAAGTAATGATTTAGGATGTACCATTTGGGATATTGCTGTTTGTATTTAAAATAACGATGATAATGATATATTAAATTTTTTTAATTTTAAAATATAAAGGATATTTATGAAAATGGAACAAATGAAATTCTCCTTTCAAAAGTTCGTAATGAAGTGTTTATTATTTCATTTTCAAAATTTGGCATTGCGAATAGTGAATTTAAAGGTATATCGGGTACACTAGATTACGTTCATAAAGCTTGCAAAATCTTGTAGACCCATTAAAGACACTGTCGGCAATATAGCAGAACTTGTTAAAGAAGGAAAAATTAAATATATTGGTCTTTCTGAATGTTCCGCAGAAACTCTTCGACGTGCTTATAAAGTTCATCCTATTGTCGAAGTCCAAGTAAGTATATCAATTTTTATTTATAATATCGTCATTATTTTAACGTTCAAATGACTAATATTAACCATTTCGATCTGTATTAAAATTATTTTTTAAGATTGAATATAGTTTCTTGGACTCTTTGATATTGAAATAAATGGAATTATCGAAGCTTACCCGAATTAGGTAGCTTATAGCCTACTTAGACGCAGATTTCTAACCGTATTATCATTTTGAAAACGTAGTAATTTTACAAAATGTATGCATATGTATATTTTATTTAGGAAAATATAAGTCTATCGATGATAAAATTTATTCCACATTTTCAGGGTGACAATAAAAATTTTGGAAATTGGACATAAATTTAATGAATTTGTGGGGGAAAAAGGCGTAACTTCAGTGTCAATTTAGTTTATCTTGGATTCTAGCTCAGTTAAATATTAACCTTAAAAATTTTTACATTTCAATATCATAACACTTTATAAACTATAATATTTTATATACTTTTTACATCTAAAATATAGTTGAATTTTAATTTTTTGTAAGCTCATTATGCCACGAAAAAGGCAATAGAAAACTATGTCACTGTTTTATATTATCGAAATATTATGCAAATAAAATTTTATCATCAAAATTGAATTTTTATTTCCGCCCTTTCATTGAACTTCAAATTTGGCTCATTAAACATCAATAGCTAATATATTCTAAAAATAAAATATTATTAATTAATTTAAATAATTAATAATTTAAAAAAGAAAATAAGTAATCCATTATTAAATATTTAATTTTTTTTTTATTATCATTGAAATTTATTGATAACGTAGAACTAATATGGTAATTAAAATTTTATTTTACTACTGTATGAGTTTAAAGGTGTTTTGATTTTTTGAATTCTATGATTTGTTAAAACACTTTTTTTTCAAAAAACATCTAAAATTAAATTTGCAAAAAATATTTCTAGTCTACAAAAGTTTAACCTATTATCGTTATTTGTGCCTTTGTAGTATTTACATCATGATAAATTTTGTGATTATGATCAAATGATCATTATTTTGTTACGTTTACAATGCAGCAATGTAGCACATGACATGTAGGTCAGTAATCTTGGTAGTTACACCACTTATCGTCTATGGAAACTTAATTTTTCTTTTGCACTATTATTAATTTTTTTTTTTTACAAAAATGTCTAATATTCGGGATGAATTAATCCAAACAGCACTCTCGAGAGCACGTTTATCAATTGATTATAATATTTACGTTAACTTTCATAAACAATACGAATTTTTTGAACAATTCATTCTTGCTGACGAATCTTTTACAGAAGAAGAAAAAACTGAAGCAATAAGAATAAATAATAATGATTATGACCGAGATAAAATTATTTATAATGAAGGGACAAGAAGAGTTTGTGAAAATTGTAACCAAAAATGTTTAGCTACATTATATTGTGAATATTGTGTTCGAAATTATTTAAAATATAATTTTTCAAATTGGACTTCTGGAAATAATGTTATTGATAATTTAATAAAAAATTGCCAAATAGAAACATTTATACCAAGTAAAATTATTGAATGGATTTCATATAATAATTTAGAAAATATTAAATATCTGACAAAAGGTGGATTCTCAGAGATTTATACAGCAGATTGGATTGATGGAAGATATGTAGTTTGGGATTCTAAAGTGCCACAATTAGTAAGATATGGAACTCATAATGTAATACTTAAAGAATTAAAAAATTTTGAAAATGCAAGTCAAAGTTGGTTTGAAGAGGTTTGTAACTAAAATATTTTAAAAACTTAAATTTAAAATTTAATTACTAATAATAAATTTATTATTTTTTAAAGGCTAAATCACATTTAACCTTAAGCAACAAAAATCCAGAGATTGTTCAATGTTTTGGTTTAACAAAAAATCCATCAAATAGAAATTATTTACTTGTAATGAGAAGAATGGATGTAAATTTAAGAGAATATTTACAACAAAATCATAATCAACTTACATGGAATGAAAGAATTAGAATTACTTTTGAAATAATTGATGCACTTTATTTTATTCATGAAGAAAATTCAGTTCATAGAGATTTGCATTCGGGAAATATATTATATTCCCAGTTTAATGATTTTTGGAAAATTAGTGATCTTGGATTTTGTGGTCCTGCAGATAAACCATCAACAAGTATATATGGAAATCTTCCTTACATAGCACCTGAAGTTATTATTTGAAGAGGATATACTTTTAAATCGGATATTTATAGTATTGCAATGCTTATGTGGGAAATTTCATTTGGACAACCACCATTTATGAATTATGAACATGATTGTATTCTTGCATTTAATATTATTGATGGTATAAGACCAAAAATTATATCAGAAATTCCTTCAGAATATAAAAGTTTAATGGAACAATGCTGGGATGCTAATCCATTAAAAAGACCTGACACTGATACACTTTGGGAAAAAATAAGTGAAATTAAAACATATTATCAAAACAATCTAAATGAATTACCTCAATTAATAGCAAAAGTAGATAAAGAAAAAATTAATAGTATGAGTAGTAAATTATTTACAAGTAAGATTTATGAATTTGAAAACCTACCTGAACCAAAAAATGCGACAGAAGGTATAATTGTTTCACGTTTAATCTTTTTTAATATTCAGTATTATTAATAATATCTTCTTTTTATAAATAATAATAGAAGAACAAAAAGGTAATATAAAGATAATAATGTTTTAGTATAAGTCCTTTATTAATTAATAAATAGATTGAGATAATCTCTTTTTTTTAAAATAGCATTTTATATCAGTAGATCAAATGATTTTACTATTTCTAGTAATGGTAAGTATTTATTAAAAATTTATTGAATTTTATACAATAAAAATATTAAATTATTGATATTATTATAGCTAGTAATCTTAGTAAATCGAGTAATCAATATATGCCAATTAGTTCCAATGGTAATTTATTCTTATTAGTGTTTTTAATAAATAAATACTAATTTACTGTATATTTTAATTTTAGATAATGATAGTAAAGAATCACCCAGATTATCGAAAAAATTAAAAATAGAGAATGGTAAAGCCTTAAAATATTTATTTATATATCAATTCTAATTTCCTTATAATATTTTTGTTGATGAATATATTAATAAATTTGATTTATTTAATAATAACAGATGTCCAAAATGACTATGAGAGAGAAATAATGCAACAACAATCAAATATTGGTATTAATGGTAAATAAATAGCTTATTTACAATAGTGAACAGTATTATTATTCTAATTTACCTTACTTATATAGATGAAGCACAAAGTAATCCAAATCTTCATTCAGAAGAAAAAGATAAATCAGAAATTCTCGATGGTTTGTTTATAATTCAAATATTTTTTAATAATATAAAAAATAATAAATTATATTTATTTACTAGAAACATATTTATTCTTTTTACTAGATGAATTTTAAATTTAATTTACAAATTTGAAAACAAGTTCATTTTTTATTATTTATTAACTTTATTATATTTTGGAATTATTTAAACACTAAGATTAGAGTAGTAAAAAGATTCTTAGTTTGTAATTTAAAATAATTCAATTCTCTATTTTTTTTTATAGGACTTTTCAATTATTAAATAAAGATAATTATAAAATTTTATGTTTAAACGAAATAATTTTATAATGTTTTAAATTGTATAAAATTTAATAAATATGTTTTAAAATTATTAGGATGTCTAAATTGATTATTCATCATAAGTATTAACCCATTTTTTAAAATAGTTCATTCTATTAATTTACATAACCACATTTAAATGCAACAATTTATTAGATTATGCCCAGTTTTCATCCTGCAATAAATATCCATCTGCTGGTAACCCGTTTAAATTGGATATCTATTTTTGAGATTTGAATTTCAAATGAAAAATATTCAAGTGCTGATATTACAAGTAGGGATGGAAATGTTCCAAATGGAGAGTAACTCAAGTGATCAAGTCAGTTTTGGAACCAAACGTTGGAACCATTTTCGAGCAGCTCAAGTGATTCCGTGAGCGTCGGACTGACTAAAACATGATCACGTGACAACACATATTTCCAAAAAGGAAATTTTTGTGCAGATAACATATTTCTGGCCGGAATTATGAAATATCAGAACCGGTACGGCGGTACGGTCTAGTCAGTTCTACCAATTCGGTTCAGTCCGATTCGATTCCAGTTCGTGGAATTGAACAGATAGAGTTGTCTCATACCTAACTACAAGTAAAAAAAATAATATTTAATATCAGTTTTTTTTTTCATATAAAGTATGAATTCTCACTATTATCAACAGTGAAAATTTTCAGGCAAAATTTATTTTCTTTTTATGATCTCATCTATAAATAAATTTTGGGTTGAAATCTTTATACAATATATTTAGATATCAAAGATAATTTTAGTTAAGAGTAATATGTATACTTAGTAGTATTGTTAAATATCACGTCCTTATTGATTATTCGCTTTATTACACTAGTTAATATTTGTAAAAAATCAGTTTAAAAACGTTATCTTAAAATAAGACTATCGTAGCATTGGTGACCCTATAAAAAATTTTTATCCAAATAATTCCATTATTCCTCCATGTTTTCCGTAAAAATTCCATGAAAATGATACATTCATGGATATCCATGTTAGCGAGATGAAAATTTCTATGATTTAAGGCTATAAATTCCATGTAAATGAAAAAAAACATGGAAAGATAAAATACGGATCAGATTTTTTACAGGGGTAAGATTGAGAGAGTTTCCTTTTCTGATACAATAATGTAAATTATCTGAGCCTATTTAGCCTATTTATCTAAAAAATACGTCGAAAAAAGCAAAAGGAAAATAAACCATAAAAACATTGTATTAAGGCGCAAGAAGTCATAGATATTGAAATGTAATCCTATGAATTAAATAAAGGAAGATAAAGCTGAATTAGAATTACACAATTCTGCTGAAGGAATACTAATTCGTAATTAATTTTATTGTTCTTTCTTTTTTTTGCATTAAAAAGTAAATAGAAAGTAATAAGCAAAATTAGAATTGAAATTAGGATTACTTTATAAGAGTCGCTCATTCTAGAAAAAGTATATTGTCTTATTGCATGTTTGCTCTTTTTAACATTTAGTTTCTAAATATAATAATTTATCTACAGCAAAAGTTTTGTTGTTTCATTGTGATGACCTAAAATTATGTCAATTTTGATTTTTTATAACTCATTAATCATTATATCACAAAAAAGCGATAAATTTTGTTGGATAGTAAATAAATTGAAGTTTATCATCAAAATTAAACTTACTTTTTCGAAACTTTAAATTTGATCCATTAAATGTCAATAAATATTTAAAAACATAGGCCATAAAAAAATACCCCTGTAAAAAAAGTCTATCCATTTTTTATATTCCATCTTTTTTTCCGTAAAAGGCTCATATTTCTGGAATTAATAACCTTATATCATAGAATTTATTAAATTATTTACATTTTCTGTGAATGGATCCATGAAGGCTCATTTTTACGGAGTTTTTACGGAAATAATGGATAAAATTTTTTATAAGGTACGCAAATTTTAAATGTCGAGTGTCAGACTAGTAACAAATTATTATTAAAATATTTTTTTTTTTAAATTAGAGTATCACCAGCATCAAACAGTGTAAGTTACATTAGTACATAATGACGTTATATTATATATACTGTATATGGTTTAATTTTTTATGAAATATGTATGAATACTCCAGTGATAATATTGAATATGATATTGCCCATATTGCCTAGAAGAGTTTCAAGAAAATGTTCAAGGAATTATACTGGGGATAAAAATTGAAATCGATTCGCTAAAATTGATTTAATCGAAAATCAAATCTAAAAATCGAATCCCAATAAATCAAATTTTTTAATCTTGCTGTTTCTATAACCACGCCACAATGAAAAAAAAATCTCAGAAATAACAAAAAAAAACGAAAAAATTCAACAATTGTGATGGCTTTTGACCAATAATAATTGGATATTGGACAATTAGAATGTTTAATTAATTAAAAAAAAAAAATTTTTTATTAATTGACAATTTCGAGTTCAGGAGCCTGGATCATCTTTTGGCCAGAATTAAACATAATTCTATAATGCAAGCCAAAAATGTCTACTGCATATTTATACATATTTTTTTATTATAATGATAACAAGTTTTGATTTCTTATATAATAATTATTTTAGCTAAAAAATTTCAGGGTTTTTATTCAGTGCAAAAATAAAATCATTTTACTTTTTAATCAAAAATTTTCAAATTTTACGATAAAGATTATTTTAGTATTTAGTTAAAATCCACCTAAAAGTTTGTGCTACCGGGTCATTGAAAGCGTTGCGAAAATGTTTAAAAAATGATTTTTTATAAAATTATTATTAAGAAATGATTAATCAATTCTTAAATCGACTCTCGGGTTTCGATTTTTGATTGAATTGATTCCAGTCCCTATTAACTATAACTAGTAGTAATAGTTGATTAGCATAAAATTTTCATATATGCATATAGATAATGTTCCAATTGTTATTAAGAAAACAATAATTATAGCACGGTATAAAATTATCAAATGGCTAATTTGCGTCACATAGTCAAGATAAACTTTATATATAATACACAAATACATAATTTATTCTTAGTACGTTTTGATTTCAGGGTCCTGAAAATTGATGATGGCATAACAATCTTGAGAGGTGCATGATATTCACCTTCGTCAACGGAATCATCAAGAAAATTAATTATTCTTCTTGTTTATTACGCCAACGTCTGTCTAACAATAGCTTTGGCACATAATATTTCTTTCAATACAAAGCATGCAATTCCGAAGTAGTTAAATGTCCAGCAACTACACGAACCTTTCTATGTTGGATACGATAAAAATATCCCATTTTAAATGACTTGAATTCCGTTAGCTTCATTAAGAATATTGATCAATTGCAATTTTCTTAATAGACCTTCTTTTCCTTATGCAATTGTAATTGCGCTATCACATCCTTCAACATTTGTTTATCTTTAATAAAGAATCATTCAAATACTTAATTCCGCTTTCTCCCTCCCATTTACGTCCTGCATCCATAGCATCAAATTCTAAACAATCTTCACGAGTCTGAAAACTTCATCACCTTTACTTTCAATTGTTTATTGTCCAATTATAATTTTCCAATCATTTGATGCTCTCTCCACACAATAAAATTATCAAAAGCTGGTTCGATCATGTGATTCAAAACGTTCATTCCATACCACCCTCTAGCTTTGAATCTAGAATCTATAAAAGAACTTTCATACTTCAGTATGCATAATTTATAAAGTCAAATAAAAATGAAGATTATTATTATATTCATCTACAAAAGATTCATAAAGTATTTTCGTAATTTTTTTTTATATTATCAACCATATTTTTTTTCATTAATTCAAGTTCTTACGTTGTGATTTCTCTCAGAAAAATAATGATTTAGCGTTTAGCATCATTTAAACTAGTGAAGACAGCTTTTTAGCATACTCGTGAATAACCATCTCTATGATCATTCTTCAGCGTCCACATATAATTATGATCCAAGGCTAAGTATGTTGCTTCAAAATTTCCAAGTCGATAGGTAACATTTTATAGTGTCAGTGGAAGTGTAATCATTAGAGGAGGTTTCATAACTACCATCATAGACTGCATCAATAGTTGGATCTTTATTTCAATTCGGTTTGATTCAAAGATTTTAAAAGAATCTGACTATTCCAAAGCTATTATCTTCAAAGCTTTGATGTGATCAATCTTACAAACATAAGTAGAGTGATTATTTTTTACATTTCATAAATTAATCGAAAAAGGTACATACAGTTAACGAAATGTAAAAAAGAAGATAGAATTAATAAACCTTATCCGAATATGAAATAATAAGAAAGCAGAATAATCAAGTAACTACACAAGATATTACAGGTCAAGGTAGCCGGAATACTGGCTCGTTAAAGGTCGTTATACAAGTTATTTCAATGCATCAATTTCGTTGGCAACGGTCATAGCTTTACAGGTCCCCGAAGTATTTTTTTTTTATAATTCAGCCACTATGAACTTTACCTTACGGAAATTTGTTTATATGAGAGATAAAAAAGAAAGAAGAAAAAAAAAATATTTTTTTTTATATGGTCACGCAGATCAGAATGAGCCACTTAAAAAGATCTGGTAACATCGGAATGTTACACAAATATGTAAAAAGAGATGTCATTTTTAAAAATATAATGGCGTAGTTAGCCAAAAAATAATTAGTCACAACGTGATCCGGACCTGGCTCAGGCGTAGATTATCGTGGAATTCCAGGGGATTTTCTGCGGTTAAACCAGGTACGGATGATCGGCAATCAGGAATTTGGCTCCGTTTTTAAGCTAACTACATCATTATTTAAAAAATTCACACTTTTCTAAATTCTTGCAATTCTGTTCCTGGCTATCACTATTATTTCTAGCTAAAATATTTCCATACCCTTCTACAAGCACGAATAAACTATACAAAATTTTCATTAATTTAAATCACTCCCACTCACATAAATTACATCGATTTCAGCAAAAGAATTTCTCATAGATTAAGTAATTTTACAGCGTAAATTTGGGAGATTAGTGATGAAATAAAAAAATAAGCAATATTTCCTATTCTATTTCGTGAGTACAATTTTACGTCAAACATTAAAGAATTTAGTAACGGTTTCAACAGGATTTCAATAAATGGACATTAACTTTTTCATAATAAGTCTTACTGAAACAGATTGTTGTTTTTTAAGAAGTCGCTAGATTAGAAAAACTTAAGAATTATATTTGGAGCCAAGAAATAAATTGTGTCTGTATTTGACACATCAAAATTCTCTTCTCCAGTGCGTGCTGATATACCATAATGGGAAAGTGAGAGTACATAATATGTCCGTCTCACTTTAGAACGTCTTTAAAGGCGGGAAAATTGATTAATATCGTGATGACATGTTTCAAGAAGCTAGACGAACAATAAACAAACCTACCTTATTATTACTTTGTGGAATGTACGAGTTCGTTTGGTTGTAAATATCGATGATGCAAATAATGGTATATTTGAAATTTTACTAGAACTTTTGTTCGATTTTTCGCCTGATTCTTGCTTATATTCGCACAAGATTGACTAACTGGAGTGACAGAATGATACTTTTTTATATAATTCACGGTGAAAGTAGAAATTAATTAAATTATTTTATCAACAAACCCTAACAAATTAAATATAATTAATATAATTATAAAAATGAAGAGACAAATGAAAATTTAAAACGATGATATAAAGAAAATTTAAAGAAATAAGTTTCTTACTACTGAATGATTGAATTAATTTGATTTAATAATGGTATTAGATGTAATATTATTATGCCTATAATGAGTAATTTGAAAGTTATCTAGATTAAAAATTGAAATAATTTTTTTTTTTAAGTCTGTGAATCATCAGGATATTCTTCAGAATTTTACATAAATGACGGTTATGATTTTCTCACAGTTTAATACTTACTACTAGGAAGTCCTATTCGATGTTCCTTTTTACTCTACTTTCCTTTTTTTTGCAATATAAACAGAAAGTTCCCATAAAATAGATATGAATTTATAATGTAGTTGATATATTGAATTTTATGAGGATTTGATTAATAAATTCTTTTTCAAAAACATCATTTTTAGAAATATATTTCATTAATTTTGCAGAAAATAATTTTAAAACTTTTTTTTTGTACAATCTTTAATGTTAATTAGTACCTCTGTATTTTTACGTCATGTTTTTACAAGAAATAAATAAATAAATAAAAATGATCTTACAAGTTAAATGAAAATTTGCTTATGATCAGATGACAATGTAGCACATGACAGGTAGATCAATAGAACAATACTAAATTTTGTTGGTCGCACCAGCAATGGTTTTTTTTTTACACTATTATTAAAAAAAATTTTCTTTTTTTTTTTACAAAAATGTCTAATATTCGAATAGAATTAATAGAAGCAGCACTTACGAGAGCACATTTGTCAATTGATTATAGTATTTGTGTTGGCTTTCATAAACAATACGAATTTTGTGAACAATTCATTCTTGCTGACGAATCTCTTACAGAAGAAGAAAAAACTGAAGCAATAAGAGAAAATAATAAAAGTTATGACCGAGATAAAATTATTTATAATTCAGGGACAAGAAGAATTTGTGAAAATTGCAACCAAAAATGTTTAGCTACATTATATTGTGAATATTGTGTTCGAAATTATTTAAAATATAATTTTTCAAATTGGACTTCTGGAAATAATGTTATTGATAATTTAATAAAAAATTGCCAAACGGAAACACTTATACCAAGTAGAATTATTGAATGGATCCCATATAATAATTTAGAAAGTATTAAATATCTGACAAAAGGTGGATTCTCAGAGATTTATACAGCAGAATGGATTGATGGAAGATACATAGAATGGGATTCTAAAGTGCAACAATTAGTAAGATATGGAACTCTTAATGTAATACTTAAAGAATTAAAAAATTTTGAAAATGCAAGTCAAAGTTGGTTTGAAGAGGTTTGTAATCTAAAATATTTAAAGAACTTAATAAATTTAAAATTTAATTAATTTATTATTTTTTAAAGGCTAAATCACATTTAACTTTAAGTAACAAAATGTCAGAAATTGTTCAATGTTTCGGTTTAACAAAAAATCCATCAAATGGAAATTATTTACTTGTAATGAGTAAGTATAACATGAATTTAAGAGAATATTTACAACAAAATCATAATAAACTTACATGGAATGAAAGAATTAGAATTACTTTTGAAATTATTGATGCACTTTATTATATTCACAAAGAGAATTCAATTCATAGAGATTTGCATTCTGGAAATATATTATATTTACAGTATGAAGATTTTTGGCGAATTAGTGATCTTGGATTTTGTGGTCCTGCAGACAAACCATCAACTAGTATATATGGAAATCTTCCTTACATAGCACCTGAAGTTATTATTGGAAGAGGATATACTTTTAAATCTGATATTTATAGTATTGCAATGCTTATGTGGGAAATTTCATTTGGACAACCACCATTTATGAATTATGAAGATGATTGTATTCTTGCATTTAATATTATTGATGGTATAAGACCAAAAATTATATCAGAAATTCCTTCAAAATATAAAAGTTTAATGGAACAATGCTGGGATGCTAATCCATTAAAAAGACCTGATCCTGATACACTATTAAAGAAGATAAGAGAAATTAAAACATATTATCAAAATAATCCAAATGAATTACCTCAATTAATAGCAAAAGTAGATAAAGAAAAAATTGACATAAATAGTAANAGAAAGTAATAAGCCTGTCTCTTATACACATCTAGATGTGTATAAGAGACAGGTATAATTGTTTCACGTTTAATCTTTTTTAATATTTAGTATTATTAATAATATCTTCTTTTTATAAATAATAATAGAAGAACAAAAAGGTAATATAAAGATAATAATGTTTTAGTATAAGTCCTTTATTAATTAATAAATAGATTGAGATAATCTCTTTTTTTTAAAATAGCATTTTATATCAGTAGATCATATGATTTTACTATTTCTAGTAATGGTAAGTATTTATTAAAAATTTATTGAATTTATACAATAAAAATATTAAATTATTGATATTATTATAGCTAGTAATCTTAGTAAATCGAGTAATCAATATATACCAATTAGTTCCAATGGTAAGTTATTCTTATTAGTGTTTTATAATAAATAAATACTAATTTATTGTATATTTTAATTTTAGATAATGATAGTAAAGAATCACCCAGATTATCGAAAAAATTAAAAATAGAGAATGGTAAAGCCTTAAAAATTAAAATATTTATATATTGATTCTAATTTTCTTATATTATTTTGTTGATGAATATATTAATAAATTTGATTTATTGATAATAGTAGACGTTCAAAATGACTATGAGGAAGAATTTATGCAACGACGATCAAATATTGGTACTAATGGTAAGCCATATTTATTAAATTATTTATAATATAAATTAGGTCATTATTCTAATTTATTTTACTTTTACAGATGAAGTACAAAATAATTTAATTCTTCATTCAGAACAAGATAAATCAGAAATTCTCGATGGTTTGTTTATTATTTAGTATTTTTAATAATATATTAAAATAATAAATTACATTTATTTACTAATCTATGTATTTTATAGATGAATCTTAAATTAATTTACAATTTGACAATATGAATTCAAATTCATTTATTTTACGTTGAATTATTTAAACACTAAGATTATAGAGTAATAGGAAGATTCTTAGTTTGTAATTTAAATAATTTAGTCATTCTTATTTTTTATAGGATTATTCAATATTATTAAATAAAGAAATTATTTATTATTATAAATTTATATCGTTATATAATTTTGCAAAAAAATGTGTAAAATTTAAGTGAATAATAAGAAAAATTATTTTAATTGACAGGTTATAATCTTTTATTCGATTATTATATTAAATCACGGAATTTTTAATAAATACGTTATACAATTTTGATGATATTATATAATCTATAAATGATTATTATTCATCAGCCATTTTCAAAATGGTTTAGTATTATTCATATTAATTTACCCTTCAGGGAAATAACCCGTATTTCCTGAAATAATTACTCTTGGAGCGCGTCACTCATTAAATACTGTAACATGTGATTGAATATTTTAAACTATTTAACTATTTTAAACTAGAATTAGATTTCCAGGCTATCTATATGAGACCGGGAAATAAATATCCCGGCACTTAACTCGCAATTTTCAAAAATTGGTATGAAGGAAATCATTAGTGACACTTAGTGCAACAGGTTAATTAACATAACCACATTTAAATTCAATATTTGATTAAATTTTTATCCAGACATAAGAAAACATCTGTCATAAAGTTAAATTCTGGAGCAACCAATTACCCAACTACCATATGTTTAGAATGTTTATCATATTAAGAGACACAAATAATAGATCTAACTTGTTTACATTTTAATCCTAAATTTGAAGCAAGGTGAGTGAAGGTAATATGTTAAAATAAAGTAGTGTCTTCGTCAGCTCCATCTTAATATATTATGACAATATTATAAAATTATTCTTATTAATAAATGAAAAGTACATACAAAATAACTGACAATATTGGAATCTAACGACAAAAGTTTAACGTTAAGTTTTGACGATAGAAAGGGAATTCATTATCAAAATTGCTAACGAACTGAATCAAAAAAATTAAATTTAAAAATTTATTATACCAAGAAAAATAACTTTTGTCCCATTATTTAATTTTTATTTGCATAATAAATTTTAACTACCATATAGAGTAAAATCAAATTTTAACTACTGTATAGAGTAAAATAATTAAATACAAAATTTATTGGAATAGAAAAAGATAAAAGGAAATTGTTTCAACGTAAATTCTTTGAAGACCTTTTGATAATCATTTTGATTTCGTCGTCCATCAAAAATTTTTGAATAATGTACTTGAGCAATACTATTTCGTACTTTGTTATATAATTGCATTGTTGAAGAAAGATTTTCAAAGTTTAATTATTTGACCAAATCTACGGTTTGATACTAGCTAAGAAAATTGGCAGAAAGTACTGTACATAAATAAATCACGTGAATTTGTTAATTGGCCCGGCCTAACGGATAAACGATTATGGATTTACAGAATGATTTATATGTGCGTGTACACGTGTATTTTTTTTTTTTTTTTTTTTTTAATCAGTTTTTTAGATATAATTGCTTTTAATTTTAGAATTGGATAATAAGTAAGTTTTTTTTTTATCTTTTATTAACTTATTTACTTTTTTAAAAGTGATTGTTTTGGTTTATATTTTTAATAAAGATTCAAAATAAGCCTCTTTTTTTTTTCTTTTTTTTTGCTTCTATTTTTCTTTTTTTTAAATACAGCTGTTTTTAGTTTTTCTTTTAATGAAAATTTAAGATGAATTTTACTTTTTTTGTTTTTTTTTTTGTTTTTCTTATTTAATTACTAACCTTTTATGTTTTTTTTAAATATATACTATTAGAATACTATTTATTTTTAATAAAGGTTTTTGAAAATATAAGGTAAAATTTATATTAAAAAAAAATTTAGGTCTCTTAATAGCTTAAGGTAAAATTATATATGCAATAGATAAAGGTCTTCAGTTTTATTATTAGATAAAGTAAAAGTAATTTTTTAGTATTATAAGATAAATTTGAATATAAGTTTTTGTAAGTTTTAATATATAATAAAGTAAATTTATATATAAATTTTAATATTTACCTATATAAATAGAAGAATTCTAATATAATAATACCAATATTTATATTGTTGTTATACATATATGCCAATTCGTAAAATTGGCCAAATTTAAAATTTTCATAAAATTTAACTATTGTCTATTTAACAGAAATTATATTTTATAAACATCAATTAAACTTGTGTTCATATGATCCAGTTTTATTAGAAAATAAAAAAAAAATTTCAAACTATATTCAAAACTAACAATAATAACTACTTCTTTTCTCAATCACTTTTTAATCACTTTTTCGTTAAATAAACTAAAAAAGTTTGTAAGCATATACAGTAGTTATTTCTTAACTAGTAAGTAAAAGAAAAAAAATTAATACTTTCTATTTATAGGAATAAATTGTTTTTTTTTATTTTTAACTTTAGTTCTTTTTTTTTTGTAAAAATATGTATAAATATAAACGTAAGTTTAGATATAGGATTTTTTTTCTTTTTTTAAATAAGTTAATTTTATACTACTTATCTTTCATCTTTTTAAGATTTTTTATTAGTTTTATTCTATTGATATCTTAAATAGCAAGTAAAATCTTTTAATAAAGTGAAAGGAATTTAAGACTTTTTTATAAAATATTATTTAGTAAGAAATACAATTTTTGAAAATTTTTATAGCGAATTTTATACCACTTTACTGAAACCNGAGATCCAGAGGCATCCGCAATCGACCGATTTATATTAACATCTTGATCATCACCTATTTGATCATCATCATCAACAGTATTTCGCATATAATCATCTGATTCATCATTTGTTAATGGATCAGAATCAGAATCAACAGTTTGGTGTTTTTTCTTTTTATTCTTTTTAGCCTTTCTTTTTTTAGACTTATCCTCATGTTTTCTCACAACATTCATTATTTGCTTTCTTTCAGCATATCTCTGTTGTATCCCATCATATACTGCGTTAAAACCATGAGAAGCAGAGTACATAGCAACATGTAAAAAAAATGAGAAACTTTGAGGAGTCATTTGGTAACAAGAGGCTCTATTCTCCCAACTGAGTATGTCTTCATTTGTTAATCCAAAATTTGCTTTTAAAATATTATTTTGAACTTCTGTTGAACGTCCCTTAAAAAATGAAGCACTAAGACTTTCACAATATTGTATATATTGGAAATATGTAGTTTTTAAAAACCTATTTTCATCACCCATAATAAGCATAGGAAACTTATTTTCGGCTATTTGTATTTTTCTTGTATCTTCCATTTTAATAAAAAACTGAGTAAAATAAAATTAAAATTTTACTGCGGAATTGTTATGTTTTTTAATTTTTGAAGGAAGAGTTTTTTATCATGACTTGCGTGTACACGTGTATCAGAATGATCAGTTCATTGGATGTTTGATTTACTTGCAAATTAGGGAAAGCCGCGTTTGATCACGTGACTTATAAATAATTGTCGCCTCCCATTTTACTATTTATCCTGAGGTCGTAATTTATAAAAATTTATTTGTCACACTCTCATAGACCGAACGTCCGGCTTTTAGTCTACCCCAAATTAAGATAACGTCCAATTGTACCAAAAATTCATATATATAAAGGCTTCAAGAAAATTTTGCGTCCTTTTTCTTTTTCTTCTTTTTTTTTCAAAATAAGCTTGCTAAACCTTTACATTTTTTTTTTATTTACCAACTTTTTAAAAAAAAGGAGATTTTATAAAATGTTTTTTCAAGATGATGAGAAATGTGAAAAATGTGACGAAAAATATACGAGTGAATATAATGCAAAGTATAAATGGTGCAAATTATGTCATATAAATAATTTAAAAAATAATTTTTTTACTAATTGCACCAGTGATGATGATACTATAAATACTTTGATCCAAGGGATACAATTAGAAATTGATGAACCAGATGATATGATATTTGAATGGATACCATATAATCAATTTAACGATATAAAAGAAATAGGAGAAGAAGGGTTTGATAAAGTATACTTAACGATATGGAAAGATGGTCCATTAAATTATAATAAAAATAAGAATGAATATATAAGAAATAATAATAATAAAAAGGTTGTTCTAAAATTATACAACTCACAAAATTTAATTAATGAATTTTTTATTGATGAGCTAAATTATAAAATTTCTTTTAATTGAAAATTTAAATACTTTTTTGTAATAATAATAATAATAATAATAATTGTATGATAATATAATTAAATAGGATAAAATGTATTCAATAACTTATATTAGTGAAGTTCTTAAAATATATGGAATTTCTCAACATCCAAATACAAAAGATTATATTATTGTTTTTCAAGATATATTTTGTGAAAAATGTGGTAAAAAGTATACAAATATAATTAAAGAATAGTGTCAACCATGTCAAATAAATTATTTTAAAAAAAATCATTACATTAGTGAAAATGAAGAAATTGATATTATAATTCAAGAAATACGATCATTGGTTGATTATAATTAATATTTGAATGGATACCATATGATCAATTAAATAATATTGAAATAATAGTTAAGATGATTTACATACAATATATTCAGCAATATGGAAGGATGTTCCAATATATTATTATGATAAAAAATGGATGAGAAAATCAAACAAGGAAGTTTCTCTAAAATATTTATATAATTCATAAAATATTATTAAATTTTTATGAATTCTAAATTTGATTTAAAATAATTTATTTTTCTTTATTTTAAATAAACATTTATTAAATTAAATCAATAATAGGTTAAGTCTGATTTTCAAGCTTTTGGTGAAGTTGGTGAATATAATAATCTTTTAATATATGGAATATCACAAAATCCAGATACACAAGATTACATTATGATTTTTCCGAATGAATCTTGTAAAAGATGTGGTGAACGATTTATAGACAAAAATTATGCAAAGTATGAATGGTGTAAATCATGTCAAATAAATAATCTTAAAAATAATTTGATAAATTGGAATAATGAAAATGAAAAAAATCAATAGTTTAATTCAAGATAAACTATTAGAAATAAATTTTTATTATGAAATAGTAACTGTATGGATTGCATATAATCAGTTTAATAATATTGAAGAAATAGTAGGTGAAAAAGATCTTAAAAAAGAAGTTCTTGATAAAGTATATTCAGCAATATGGAAGAATGGACCATTAAATTATAATAAAGGAAAAAATGAATAAACAAAAAAATCAGCCGAATATTAAAAGTTATTTTAAAATTACTTAAATCTACAAAAATGAATCTTTAAGCGAGGTATGAAATTTTCTTTACTAAATTTAATATAAATTTTACCTTAACCATGGAGTAATATCTTTTATTAATTATACAATTCAATAGGTTAAAGCAGAATTAAATAAATATCATTGGAATTTCTCAAAACTTGATACAAAAGATTTTATTTTAGTTCTTCAAGAAGGATATGATGATAAATGTGAAAAATGTATACATGTATAGATGATAACTGGTGTAGTTCATGTCACAAAATTTGTTTGAAAAAGTTATATAAAAATTCGACCACTGGAAATGATAATATTGATAATTTAATTAAAAGATGGCGAAACAACCTTAGGAATTATTTATTTGAATTCATACCATATAATCAATTTGATAATACATGTGGTTAAGACATCACCACCAAATCAGTATCCAACACGTGACAACGTGGTGTCCGACGATCTCGAAATTATCGATGATACACTTTTTCGAAGTCGAGACATGTTAAAAAAAAGTCTTATATAGATAGTAAATAAGTGGTAAATAATAGTAATTAGCAAGAATAAGCAGCGAAAATTAATCTAAGATATTTCTTAGATGTATTAAATATTATTTAGCGATGAATCTGAATACCGCGCTGCAAATTTTTTTTTTTATTAATCTTAATGAAAAAATTTGCCCTCTTTTTTTTGTCATTTCCAGTAACTGATAATGCATAAACTTTTTTTTTATAACTAAAATAGGAAACACATTAAAATCAGATAATTAAAATTTATAATTTACGTTACACTTACTTTTATTACAACATTCTCTACATATTTTAACATTTATAATAATACGTACGTCAAATCACGTCCGAGTGTCTATATAACATCGTTCTGACCTGATTAATAGTTTAATTCGGATAACCGGGTTAAATTCAAAACTTTGCGTTTTTATTTAGTTAGCTAAAAATCGTTGAAATCATTAAAAAAATCCATTCTTTAATTTCTTGTTAATTTCACACAGAGTTCTACTTTTTCACTCGCTCAGTCGCTCCCTCCGGAAAAAAGTAAATCAATTATAAAAGTTATTTTTTTTAAAAAAAAATAATGCGCCTTTGTCTATCTATTTCATATACAGTAAATTTCTCTTAATATTTAAATTTCCACAAAAATGGCGCAGTACAATGTAATTATTAAAATGTCTTTGTATTCTATATTATAAATGATACAATATGTCATTTGAGTCAATTGCTGATATTCTCAATTGTCATGAAAACAGACTTAGTATTTTTAATCCATAAATTATCATTGACTGCTATAAATTATAAAGTAATTATTCTAATATTAACAATGATATAATTTTGATATCTTTTAAAATTTCTATAAAATGATAAAAAGATCACATCACGTTTTAAGCTCAATATTTTCATTACATTAAACTTAAAATAATAATTATGTAATCTATCAAGTAGATTTATTGTTAATTTTAACTAGGGTGGAATCAAGAATCAAAGTTGACATATTCATTAATAAATGTGGTTTATAGTATTATGAAAAATTTTCTGTGAGAATTATCTTCACGTATATTTGGAAATAATAACGTACATGACATATTGTATTTGTAACTTTGTAAAAAAAATTTGCATAAAATTATTATGGAAAAGAAATATTTTACTTACCTATTGTATGAATGAAATTTTAATAGGCGCATCTAACGAATTTTAGTATTTTTTTTTTTACAAAATAAACAAATTAACTCATTGTCTATAAAAATATTTTAACTTTAAAATTTTATGGAAATTTTTTTCTTATATTACAGCTTGATTTCGGAAAATCACTGAATTAAAAATCAATTTATTAATAATAAAAGTTAAGATAATTATTATTGTTTTAATAAAATAATAGTAACTAAAATAATAATAAAAAAACAAATGGCGCTGCGTATCTTTCTAATTTCTTTATTTTAATTAAATAACTAACGATAAAAGATAAAAGAAATTTGTTTTTGCATATCATTTTTTTTATCATCACTTTTTTTTCCAATATATATTAACCTACCATCTGTAAAGCCGGCTGTGGATACAACGCATAAAATTTGGCACATTCCTAAGCTTAAGCTACAATGTTATAAAAATGCCGGAAAAGTCTAGGCAACTAGTCAAAAGTCCCGATAATCCGAATAATATTAATTATAGATCAAATTGCAAGAAAGTTCGCTTAACTTTAGTTCCAAGTGACAGAACATCTCCAATACGTTTTGGTGTTGTTGATGATTCAACTACATGATAATAATAAAATTGTATCTGTGCATCAACTGCTGCAAAGGCAATAACAAGTGGTAATTCACCTAAGGCAAGCATGTTCCAAAATTTATAGTAATAATCTAAATCTGCCGCTGCAGTTGCAAATGTTGAATTAGTAGCTTTTTCCTCGCCCATTATTACAAGTACGTCTCTACAATAAACTAAGACATCTGGTCGGACTCACTTGTCTGTAGTTGTAGTGAAATCATTCGTTTTATTGTTGCGAGCCCATTCTAAACCAAATGTACCAATATATTTATCAGCAAGTTTAAGCATTTTCCGAATGACATTGTCGACCATATAACTGGTTTCCATCTCCTGGTTTTTCTTACCCTTATAAAGTTTCATAGCATTTCCAACAGTAAGCATTACACCAGGAAGAAACTCGAAAACTTCGTGATCAAAAAAGTCAGGAAAATCATGACATAAAATGTGGGGGCTGGCAATTTCCTTCGTAGCGGTGTATTAAAGTATGAATTGATATTATTACAATCGACTGGTTCATCAAAAGGACACAAGAGTTCTTGTAAATATTCGGTTGTCTTATCTTGTATAAGTCCTATTCCAATATCTTCATCGAAATGAAAAAAGAATATGACTATTAGTACTAAAAATCAAATAAAACTATATTAGAAACAAACCACCAATTAACAACTTTACCTTCAAGTTTTATTCTTTTATTTGGAGTATCTAAAAAAGAAGGAAGCGCCAAAAAGGTCAATAAACAATTCACATAAGATGAAAACGTTGGGAGACACTTACCAGTGACGGGGACTATGATAATATGAATATTCCTCAATGTAGGAGGTACAGTACCCTTAGGAAAATAGTCGCTAAGTGGGTTATGCACATTTCATCCTCTTGCCGTTAAATTTGTTTTCAATGTCTTTTTCGGTAGAAATATTTTTAAGACTTCCATCGTCGATATCAACTAGCCAAAGTTCCATACTGTTTGGATCTTCGGGATCAGGAACTGCATGTTTAACTTGGTTTTTAATTATCTCCTTAAAGTTTGAAACGGTATATTCGATTACAGTCAAATTACTTTCATTGATATATTTCTTGGGAACGTTAGCCGTAAAAGTATTCCTGCTGCCTAGAACAAAACAATTTAGCGACAGTTCCATTTTGGAGACTCTAAAGTGATAAATGATATTTTAGTTTTTAGAGGGTTTGAGAAAACTAGTGCTCTTGAGGGTATATAATTATATACCTTTTTACTGTATGTCTTTTTGAATACTTCGTGATTAGACTCCTTGATTATTATTATGACGAAATATGACTAATCAGTGTGGCTTACAAATAAAGCGCAGTAATGCTCTATGATATTCTCTCTGAGTATAACTCATAAATGTAAAGAAGCGTTAACGAAAAATTATTGAAGTCCGGGCGAGACAATTAGGGTATGAATGGTTGTGGCTGTGCATTTACAAGGAAACGATTCCAAGACTTGGAAACTAGTGATATTTTCTCGTACAGATTTCTGAGGTAGCATACAACATTTCTTTTCAATATTTTTTTTGTAGAGCGCCTGCGCCGGCTTGGACTATAAGAAGGGAAATTCGGTGAGGGAGTTTTTGATTTTTTGTAAATAGCTCTTTCGACAAAACATATAACGTTCCGTTCTTTTTGTAGGCTGCTGGTTCTCAATGGAGATTCGAAATTTTTTTTTAAAAAATTTTTTAATTTTTATTTTTTTTGTAGATATCGGTTCCTTTGGATTTGAGATTTGGATTTGGTAAGTTTCGAAGCAAAACTTACGTTTTTTTATTTTTTGTTTTTTTTTTAATTTCTCTCTTTTTTTTTGTAGGTATCGATTCTTTCGCCTTTGGGATTTGGATATGCCAATATGGTAAGTTTCGATTCGAAAATTCAAAACGTGTTTTTTTTTTATTTATTTTTTAATTTTTCTCTTTTTTTTGTAGGAATCGATTCTTTCAGCTTTGGGACTTGGATATACCGATATGGTAAGTTTCGATTCGAAAATTTGTTTAAAATTTTATTTTTTTTTGTAGATATCAGCATGGACCCAGATATGCAGATATCAACATGGTAAGTTTCTATTTGAAACTTATCTGTTATAATTTTTTTAATGTTTTTTAAAAAATTTTTTTTTTTTATAGGTATACGGTTCTTTGAACGGCCGAATCTGGGACATTTAATGAATACAGGCAAGTTTTGAAATTTTCTTCGAAAATAGATTAGTCTTTACATTAGACATTAAGAATAGTGATTAAACAGATAGCATAATTTGTAATATAATATAAATATTTAATAAATTATAAATTCGGAAACATTCCAATAAAAATTTACTACCAAACCAATGAATGTGAGCAATGATGACAAATCGTCTGACGTACTCAAACGATTCAGTCATAAGCAATTAACCTATTTAAAATCAAATTTCTAAATTGATTAAAACTCAAATTTTATAATTCTATCTTGTATTGTCCGCTATCATTTTTCTATAAAGAAATTAGATAGTGAATGTAATCTTTATCAAATATACTTTGGAAAAGTCTGGAAAATCAGAAACAGAAAGAATTTAACATAATAAAAAGTGATATTTTAATATATTTTAATTTATAAAATAATAAAAAAAGTGTCTTATAAATTTGAACATTAATTTTATATCATGCACAATTCAAATTGAATATTTGTAACTATCATAATCTCACCGTAATAATCATAATAAACACCAAGTTCAATCAATATCCATAATAACACAATCAGAACATTCATCAGAATAAAAGGTGTTAACTTGTCCTATAATAGGTAAATTTTTTATTTAACTTTAATTTTACTAGCTAGATAAAAGTAATATATAAATAATAAAAAACTTACCTGTTCGTATTCTCTTAGTATATCTCGAAGAAACAAATTCTTGTTGATTTCTGCAATTAATAGGTTCCGGTAAATTTTGAAAATTGAGAAGCCGACTTGTATAAATAGCCTTGGGATGTTTTTCGTCTTTTTGTATTTTTAATAATAAATTTGTAATGTTGGTTGATTCGTTAAAATTATATGATAATCTTTTTAATGGAATACTTTTGTATGTATTTAAATGATAAGATAATATATGAAATACTTCTCCAGAAGTTGGACGGTTATCTGGATTTGCATCCCAACATTTTTTAATTAATTCTTTTAAAGAAGTTGGAGTTTCTTCTCTAATATTTGGACGTAAACCTCGACAAATATCCAGTACGAGAAAATGATCATGTGGTTCATTATTGAATGGAGGAGTTACTGTAATTATTTCATTTATGATCACACCTAATGAATATACATCAGATGCTAATGTATGTGGTTTTCCACGTAATATTTCAGGTGCCATATATGGCATTACTCCATAAATATTCTTTTTTGTAGAATTTGATAAATTTTCTTTTGCTGGCATGCAAAATCCAAAATCTCCAATATATGCAAATGTAGGATCAATAAAAATATTTCCTGGATGAAGATCTTTATGAATTAACCCATGAATATGAATATTATTAAGTGCAAGACAAATATCATATATTTTATTTAATCTTTGATCCCATGTAATTATATTAACAGTTCGTTCAAGATATTTTCGTAAATCACCATTTTCCATATATTGTAATACTAACGCATAATTGTTAGTAATAGGATCTTGAGTAATTCCAAAACATTTTATTATACACATATAACCACTAACTTCGTTATGAAATTTTATCTATAAATATATAATTAAATATTAAATTTGTAAATTAAATAGTAATTTATTTTATTTTAAATTCTATTTTACGTACCTCATTTAGAAAATCTCCACTTATATTTTTTGAATTATTCAATACTTTTAAAGCGATTTTTGTCGATTCATTTCTTTTCCAATTATTAGAAAATTGACTCCACTTTTTAATTGGTCCATCTTTCCATATAGCTGAATATACTTTTGCAAAACCTACTTTAGCAATGTAATTAATATTTGTAAATTTATCATATGAAATCCATTCTAATAATCCGTACTTTCTGCCTATATTTTGATTGTCTTGTATCAACTTATCAATAACCTCATTCCTACTGGTCCACTTATCAAAATCTCTTTGAAAATGTTTAGGATTGCAGGATAAACAACCATCCAAATCCTCATATATCTTTAGACATTCTTTACATTTTCAAATTCAATACGTTTTTTTTCAATAATATCAATTTCTCTATCATAACAATCACAGCAGTAAGAACGAAGTTTACGCCAACAATTATGTACTCCATTATATCTTATATTATTTATAAGAATTTTCTTATTATCTACATAATTTTTTGTGTTGTCAAATTGTTGTATTATTTGTTTAAATATTCCTAAATTACTATTTAATTTAAAATAAACATTTTTGTAATCTATTAAAATAGATTGTAATTCTTTTAATTCTCTTAATTCTTTCGTTTCTTTGTTGTATACTTTGAAATAAAAATTTTCACAATCTTTTAATTCTCTTATTTCTTTATCAAAACACTCATAACAATAATTATAATGATACTTTCTATCACACTTCTCACATAAAATATAATCGAAGTTCTTGTATTTTACTCGTCTATCATCTTCATCTAAATCATAATCTGAAATTTCAATTTTTGATTCTATAAATACATTATTTTCATTAATCCATTTACTAAAGTTTTCCAAAAATTGCTTTAATTCATAAAATGAACAACAATCATCATTATTTCCATTAAAACATACTTTGCATCTATTAATTATCATTTGATTATTATTATAACAATAATTACAATTATAGTATTGCTTATCAATTTCATTATTACATTTTTCACATACAACAATGTCATATTTTTCATATTTTGCTTTTCTTTCTTCTAAATTTAAATTATTATCGAATGTATTAAAAATTTTAAAATCTGATCCAAATTTCATATGACCTTTTTTAATAACATCAGTTTCTTTATTATAGCAACGTGTACAATAATAATTGTGTTTATTAATTCCTTGATTACATTTTTCACATACAACAATGTCATATTTTTCATATTTTGCTTTTCTTTCTTCTAAATTTAAATTATAATCAAATGTATTAAAAAATTTAAAATCTGGTCCAAATTTCATATGATTTTTTTTAATAACATCAGTTTCTTTATCATAACAATATGCACAATAATAATATCCAAAATTATCAATTCCATTATTACATTTTTCACATAAAATACTATGATAATTCATGTACTCTGCTCTTCTTTCTTTTAAATCTAAGTTGTAATCTGATGTCTTAAAAATTCCAAATTCAAATTTTGGCCCAAATTTCATATGCCTTTTTTTAATAACATCAGTTTCTTTATCATAACAATATGTACAATAACAATCCCACTTATCAATTTCATTACTATATTTTACATATTCATATTCATATTTCATATAAGCTTTTTTAATAAAATCAGTTTCTTCATTGTAGTAATTACATTCTTCACATAAAATATTATCATAATTCATGTATTTTTTTCTTCTTTCTTTTAAATCTAAGTTGTAATCTGATGTCTTAAAAATTCCAAATTTTGGTCCAAATTTTATATGCCCTTTTTTAATAATATCAGTTTCTTTATAATAACAATATGCACAACAATAATACCACTTATCAATTTCATTATTACATTTTTCACATAAAATACCATCATAATTCATGTACTCTGCTCTTCTTTCTTCTAAATTTAAGTTACAATCCAAAATTTTAAAACTTGATCCAAATTTCATATGCCCTTTTTTAATAATATCAGTTTCTTCATTATAACAATATGTACAATAAAAATCCCCCTTAAAAATTTCATTATTACATTCTTCACATAAAATGTAATTTGAATTCCTATATTTTGCTTTTCTTTCTTCCAAATTTAAATCATAATCTGATGTCTCAAAAATATAAAAAATATTACAAATTAAACAGCCATAAGAAGTATTTGATTTAAAACAAGAGTTACATATTCCATGATTCATACGATTTCGCTCATTACAATCGGTTTCCTTATTATAACAATTATAACATATAAAACTAAACTTTTCAATTTCTTGATTACAATCTTCACATAAGACATGAGCATATTTCTTAAATTTCAATTTTCTTTCATCTAAATTTAAATCATAATCTAATATCTTAAAAACTCCAAATCTTGATTCAAATATATCATATTTATTAATAAGTTGGATGTTTTCTTCAATATTCTCTTCTAACGACATGTTTCCATCAAGTGTTTTCAACCTTATCGTATTTGAACTCAATGAAATTTATCTATTTTTTTTTTAATTTATAATTCCAAATTAATTTCAATTGAATATTCAAATAAGACCGTAATCTTGTTTTTATTCACTTAATATAATTCTTAAATCAATAATAATAGACTATATATAAGCTATTTTTAAATATTTTACGAGATTTTTTAATGAATAAAAGGTTTATTTATAATAATATTTTATTATGAACAATGAAACATAAACTCCGAAATTTAACTTTATTTGGAAATTTGTTGTTATCCGTATTAGTAATTAGAATAAAACCATAAAAAAAAATTTTTCATATGTAGCTAGCCGCAAACGGGCATTTGTCGATCATTCGTATCCGGTTTAGTCCCGGGTCTATGGTTGAGCCGATGAGCCGTGCAGCTAAGAGGGAAAGAGGCAGGGTCGATGATTTTTTACGGAATTGTGCGTGATAAAAATAAAAATTGTTTTTTGTGGCGAAAGTAAATTTTTGCTAATTATGTGCAATTATGTGGCATATTTGAATAAAATATATAAATTTATGGGCACGAAATTCATGAAATTTTGGCAATTTTGTGGCGATCAAATTAATCACGAATTTTGTGAAATGCCGAATATCATTGGCCGGGAATATACCTGCAGATTTAAATGGTTTAACTAAAGACAATGATCATCTATAATGACAAAATTATTAATTTATTTTTCGTAATAAAGATGATGTGGATTTAGAATAAATATGTCCATATCCGAATTAGAATTTATATTGCTAGTAGTATATATCGCATAAATCTGAAATAAATTCCATAGATAAACTAAAAACTCTTAAATGCAGATATTATTTTGCGGTAAAAAAAAAAACAATGAAGTAGAAAATTTGTAGGCATGTAATTTAAATTAGACAATTAGCTATTTGAATAATATTGATTTATTTTAATATGATATTAACATATTTTTTTCTGTAATGTTTATCGTTCTACAGTATTGTTATTTATATTGATAAATTATAAGTTGTCCAGATTTGAGTTGCAGGATTTTTACAGAAACACTTGGATGTTTTTTGTTTAATTATTATCCGGAGCGAAGCGATTATTCTGAAAAGTCAGTCAAATAATACATTATATTTATTGGCGTGCGATTACGAGAATTGGTGTAGTTAAATGATGAATGAACGGAACATAATATTAGTGATCTAGAAGTCTAGAAAAAAGCAGCCACGAATAGAATATGGAATAACTCAAAATATATATTACACATTATGTGCATTAATATGCATCATTGAATCCAAATTTATTCATATTATTAATATTACCATGACAATATGATTCTTACAAAGTACAATATTATATTATTTAAAAAAGAATCATAATTATATATTTCCGTTAAATAAGAAAAAATGGGTTAAATATTACTATTAATACGATTAGCTGTTAATTTTAAAAAATAAGCGACAATAATAGAAAAATTTCTAAAGTATCGTTCAATAATTTCCAAATAATCTTTTACTATGTTTAATCTTGATTTTTTTCTTAAAATATTCCTTTTTAAGTACAGTAATAATCATCTAAACAATATCATGTAATATATTAATTTTCTATTAACCATAAATTTTTTTGAAATATAAATTTATAAAGAGTTTCAATTTTAATATCACGATTAATTTGAGAACTCCTTAACTAATAGTTTAATATAACGCTATAATAATCTCCAAGGCCAGCGACTAAATCCTTAACTAAAATCAAAATTTATATATAGTATTTTTTTAAAATTTAAATTTGAGTCTGCATTACTATATTAATAAGCGTACGTATTAAATCGTAATTTGCAAAGATATTCTTGCTTCTTCATATTTTAAAGTGTCATGGGTTTAATTATAATCTTTAATCGAGGGATTAAATCATCATCAAAACATTTATAATCATTATAACTATTGTACATTCACTGAACATATTTCCATATTTTGGTGATTACGAAATTTAAATTATTCAAAATTTAAATGTAATAAGTTATTTAATAATAAGAAGCTTAAGCTGCCATTATAAAAGCACTTACTTACAAAGTGTAAAGGATATTTCCTCTATAATTAATCATTATCTTGAAATTAAAGTAACTTCATTGTCTTAAAGTAATTCTATAGTTATTCTATAATCAATGTATTATAGTAATAAATTTGAAAATACTTCAGAAATTGAATTTGTACCTTTTAGAGATTCTATTTAGTTTAGATTAATTTTACTTTGATACGTTTTGGAAAATTATAATCACCGATTAAATATGTGAAATTCATATCCAAACAAAACAAAACATTATTGTCTATAATTATTATTTTTATTCTAATTGTGCTTCAATGCTTAAATAAAATTATAGAACTACCATATTTGAAAATTTCGGCAAATTTTCTCTTGGCAAAATTTCACATGATATATCATACCACCAAAAATTTTCACCTCACGTGATTTCTTATTTAAGGTGACGTATAATGAACTTTATATACATAATTCATTCTTTCCGTTTTTGAATGTGGGACTTCTAGACACGATACTGAGACAAGTACAGTAAACGCTAAAACCAAATCCTTTTTTTAAAATTGAAAATAGATCTAAAAATAAAAAATGAAAAAAAGAAGCACCGAAATAAAAAAGTGGATATTTTTATTTTTCCTATATGATGTCATTAGTATAATTAATTTATCTTTACCGCTGTATATCAAAATGATTCAAAACTTAAATTATAGAAATTGTAATGGGCCATAATTTTAAGATTATGCATGAAACGCTATAGCTTCGTTAATTTCACTAAAAATTATACTTAAGTTCATATTCTATGATTTTTCTCGTTGATTTTTGATCATTTATAAAAAACACAACAGCGGAAGCTTCTTTCGAATTTTTTGAAATCGAATAAAATAAAGATTAACTATAGTATACTAATGATATACTTTTTATATCCTAATTATGTACAGTATGTTTTGTTAATGTTGAAAAAATATGTTCAGTTGATCGATAATTATAAATTGAACCTAAAAAAGATTTTATCATTGTTTTTAACTACGATGTTTTTGGCGAGATCAGTTCAATATTAAAATAGTAGTAATAAAGTATATAGAGATCACAAATTAATTAAATTTTCAAAATTACTCGAATATTAAAATTTTGGGTTACTTTTGGTCATTATTATATGGAATCATTAATTCACGTGGTTACAGTTTACCTTATTGAATAAATAGTTGATGAGGCATAATTTAGGAACAATCCCTAATTAATTCATTTACAAGTCCTCCTTTTCTTTCGAACGTGAATATTCTTCATAATATTTTACATAATATTAAATTCTCATAAAGATTGTTTATGGGTTAAACCGAAAAAGAATATTCAAATATATTTTATGGCTGTTCTATTTTTTGGCGTTTCACGATTTTTATTTTTAATTACATTTTTTTTTTATGATCTTTCTTAACTTTACAATACATATTTTTCACATTATTGTATTTCTAGCTTTCATTTGATGTTCCTGATGAAACATAATAATTGAAAATAATTCGTTATATCTTATTTGTATTAAAAGAAAGAACATTCTTTTTATATACCGAACTGGATTTGCAATATTAACGATAATGTATAGTAGGTAAATGAAAATTTATTTAATATAATGATAAACGATTCTAAACAAAGAATAATGACACTAAACAAAGAGACAATCATCAGTTTTGTTCACTGATCTCTTAAAAAGTACTTCAAAGATAAATTCACCATTTTTAATATTCCTTCTCACTAATCATAATTCTTCCATAAAGATCGAAATCTAGGCTTTTTCAACGAAGAGATTGCGCACTAGGTTGGGTTTGATGACACAAAGAAGTATATTACCTGATTATTCAGTTATATACAACCACTTTACCGAATACAAAGTACTTTTTATTTTAATTTTTATAATTCGAAAGTTACATATATAATAGTTTTATGCGTACCGAAACTTTACATAAATGACATAAATGTAAAAAGGTAAATATTTTCTATTAATAAACTGTCAGTACAACGCCTTCTACTAATGACAATAATTGACTCTTTGCCGACTTTACATGAAACACACTATTGTAAACTATCTACGTTTTGGTCCCATTAGAGGCCCGCAAAGTTACGAAGTGGAGAGTAAAATAGGAATAAGAAAAGGATAGTAACTGATCTATAAAGATTCAAATTTTCTTTTATTTCATAGAGAAGATGTAATCACACGTATGTGTAGAACGATACTAAATTTCTTAATTCTTATTAATCAAATGACTGAACGCTAACAAGAATCTTTTTTGTTTTCACTAATAAAAATAGGGAATTATGAAAGAATTTAAGACGCGCTAATATATCACCGGTAACAACAAGTACTAATCTTATAAAATTTTCCGTTAACGCTAACTACAATAGTACATCTAGTAATATTAATATATAACAAGAAAATTGTTGATGGTTATAATCCAACACTAATATCTGGTGATTATGATAAACCAAAGGTAGTTTTTAAAATAAGAATATTTTATTGAAGATATAAATAATAGTAATGTAAAAAATTGTAAGTTATACATTAGAATGTAGTTCTAAATTAGCAGTTGGTAATGGCTTTCAAATTGTTGATCAGTTGGTGAGAATGTATAATTTTGATGTCTTTCCATAAGCTGATTTTCAAGTCGTCTTTTTAAAGTTCTCCTTAAATAATATTAAATATAATGCTTTTTATTAAAATAACACCTAAAATATCCATTCACAAAAGATGATTATTATTTTGATATTTATGTAGAAGATGTGTTTTTAGTAGATTATTGAAGCTTTAGGGTGATTATTTATTTGTTGTGGGTATTTTTTCTAATGACGCTCCTAAAATATTTGCAGCAAGTATTCTTCCATATTTACACCATCCAATAGATAGATTCCCTACCCAATAATCTCGAATATAATACAGCATCACGAATTATATCTACTTTAGATTTCGGTAAATTATTTTTAATTTGATTCTAAAATTAATTAATAAATGTTAATATAATTTTTTTTAATAAATTACTTCTGTTTATAATACATACCTTTAGAAGAATTTCCGTATTAGTAATTACTTGAGTTATTTGATTAATATAAGAAGATTCTGTAATATTTTTTAGATTCTCAGTAAAATTTTTCAAAAATTGGTACAGTATATCTCCTTTCTATATGTTACAATTTCATGACCACCATGGTGTCCAAGAACTATTTTAAACTTATTTTCCCAACTTTGAGAAACGTGAAACAGACATAAAATTAAGTGAATATTTGGCCAGATTTCAATTAAAGCTTTTCGTTCTTTATGATCACAATCTGTCATTGCAACCTAATAATTTTTTTTAAAAAAATAAAATTAAAGTACACTACAAATATATTATGTAGTAAATTGCAAAAGTACCTTTGATGTAAACACATGTCCTTTTTTTTGCTCCAATTTATGTTTATAATGTAGTAACAATTCTTTTACAATTGTATGATTATAACTATTGCTGGCTTTTTGGACGCCTCCAGCTGCTGAAAAAGTAAGAATCCTATCGGAATTCCTTTATTCTGTTCAACTAATACAAGTAAAACAAATAATAATATTTTCTTATTTGAGATACCAAAAGTTCCATCCAAATGTAATATTTTATTGTGACCAAATTCCCATGCTAATTCACGCTGCTCTTTAGTAGGTAAAACCAACATAAACCGATCATTTAACTCTTATCGTGGTTTATAATATATTGTTGCCTCCATTATTTCACTATCTTTACTTTTTGGCCCAAAAATTTGATTTATATTAATTTCTTCAGCTTTTCGCTTATCAATTCCCCAGAGATCTTTCGTCATTGAATTACGAATATTTATTATATCTTGGTTTGATAGTAAATATCTTTCGTCATCAATCAAAACTTTCCCTTCTAAATGATTGCTTATATAATCAATATTATCATCAAGGTTATGAGATGGGTGAACATTTATATGTAATAAATTTTGTGCCATTAATTTAACTGTTTCATTTATGCGAAGTGGTGGTGGTTGAACTGGTAGATTACGTTGACAATCTTCTAAATGATTAGATAACCAAATATACTAACATATAGACCTTTGTATTTCTTTATTCGTGCAAAAGCAAGACAACCAACAAATTTATATATTTATCTTGTTTTTCGTGTTTTTACTTCTTCTGATTTAAACTTTTTTTAATTTAAATTCATGTCACTTCCACAGCAACATTGTAAAACATAAATTTCTTTATCTTTATTACTACAGCATATTTTCGATTTATGTTCGGGTAAAATATTTTCTAAAATAAGATTATATTGTTGTAAAAAAGCCATAGCATTTTCTTGTGTTATATTACTCCATTCTAAGTTAACAAAATTTAAACCGGCAAATTATTAAGTTGGTCTTTTTGAGTTAAAATTAAATGTGAAGGGATTTTAAAGGACATTTGTAAAGAATAAACCAATGGTTACCGCGTTTTTTTTAAAAAAAAAATTTTAGAAAAAATAACTAACGCGTTCGTGGTTAACGTGTTAAAAAAAACAATATAAAATATAACTGTCCGAAATAAATGTGCGTAGTTCGGAAAGTAGGTCGGCGATCGGCTGTGTAACCGAGGGTGGTGTGGTAAGATTTCCCTTTATCTTAGAAAATATTTTTCATTTCGTGAAAAAAAATAGGAACGAAAGAAAATAAAAGCAAGTACGCATAAAATTAAAAAGAAAAATTTTTAACATTTGACATGTATATTTCAGTTTATAAACAAACATACGACTCATATATACATGGTGAATTTTATTACAAAAAATATTAATCAACTCTATTAATACTGATTCAAGACAATGAAAATTAACTTTTGAATATTTTCATATCCATTAAATGACTTTACTTATTATTAGCAAAAGTTAGTTTTATTTGACCAAAATGTTTAATTACGTCAAAATATCTGCAACAAAAATTAAGAATAACTTCTTCATGAATATTCAAAATAACTTGATGAAAATTAATATTTAAATAATCTCTCATACCTGTAAAATAGCCTTTGAAAACGTATTTGCTTTGGTTAAGTTGTTGTAACTATATAATAAAGTTAAAAAACAGCCGCAGCACAGTTTTTAATTCCAAAAAACTCCTGTAAACTTCAACTATCAAGTATATATTTAAATAATTTAATAAAAATTAATAAAAATTACATACCTTTATACCTGCTCAAACAATTTTATTTAAGAAGAGAAAAGGGCAAAGGGGAAAGAGAAGAGTGAGCGAAAATGTATAAATTAGTGTATGATGTAAGAGGGGTACAGGATATATATATATATTTTATATTCTATTAATAATCACATGGATACGAAAAGTGAACGAAAAAAAAAGAATCGAGATTTGTTCTCAATCTTTTGTCGCACAACAATCAAATTCGTGATTACAAGTTTAAAAAGTCATTTGGAAATCTGTTGTACAACTACGATGTACACTTGAAAATTACAATACTTCTCTTTGTTGGAAGTTGCACAATGACAGTACAACATTATCACTTGACTATTTTACGTTATCGAAATTTTATGCATTACGTAAAATCAATCTATATTTTTATAGAAATAAAAATGTTTCGTGTAAAATTTCAGACAAAAAGAATTTAAATAAAATATTTGAAAGACCTCCACCATATAACTACGAAAAAACCTAAAGTAGCATATAAAAATCTAAAATTGTATTCAATCACTATCTGAGAAATTAGATATAGCCCTTTAGAATATCATATTTTATTTTTATTTCTCTTCTTTACGTTAATTAGTTTTAGAATTAATCTTCGTTTGTTAATTATGAGGTATTATTCTCGAATTACTAGCATCAGTAGTATGTATCATCAAATCCATTTAACTAAAAAGAAAAAATTCACATGGTACCACTAAATTTTCTTCTTGCATTTTCCTGGCGTTCTTTTACTGTTCTTTCTTTCATATGTATTATGTTGATCTGTTAATTTAGAAGTTTGGCGTTTCAGATTTCTTTTTGTCTACCTATTTTTGGAAATAGATTTTAGTGATAGAAAGATGGCGTATCTCTTGGCAACTGCATAATCTTTCTATCCATCATTGATGGGATTCCCATGGAATTTGCAAGAATTTATCGGGATCTGTGCGAATTTTACATTAGTAATACTGTACAAATCTCATAAAATTCCACGTAGCGGCGGTTAATTAACCCCATTTCTACTTTCCATGGAACCTTTTAGAAATAAACTTGGTAGTTGAAAAAAAAAAGGTTTCTTTTTAATGTACAGTGGATTACGGACACAACAATTGTGATATGCAGTAATATCTAAAATCAACAATACAACTGTCAATGAATCTAAAATGGGTGTATTAATAATAAAATTAATAAGATCTTAACATGTATAAATAATAAGCTTACATTTAAGTTGTGAATGATTATTAACAAGAAAATGACGGAAGAATACGATCAATTAATAGAAGTGCAAATTCAAGCGATATTAAAAATCTACTTGTCATACGTAAAATCAGTAGGAAAAGGTGATTCTTTAATTAAACCTAACCCAGGATATGATTCCTCAGAAGAATTAGAAGAATTATACCAAAAATTAGCGGTTATATACCATAAAAGAGTACCAGATGAAGAATTGAAGGAAAGTATTGTTGGGGACATAAAACAATACCAAAAAAACTTATTAAAACAAGGAACCTCAGATATAGAAAAGCGTACAAAATATTTAAATCACATACCAAAATGTTTACACTTAACGATAGAAAAATTTAAAAAGGAACAAAAGTTTTGGTTATATAAACCAATATTAGATGTCATAAGTGCTGCATCCGATGATGTTGATGATGATGTTGATGATGATGATGATAATAATAGAAGTTATGTAGAAGTTAAGTGGGGGACCACAGTCGGAATTGTAATTGACAATTGGATAACAAAACTTTATAGGAATAAAGGCAAAAACGAAACAAGAATAAATTCTGAGATAATTAATAAAGACCATATTAAATTATTTACACATTGGATTAATAAAAAAGATCAATCAGCATATAATAGTTTTAATAACAAATATGAATTTAAATTAATTTATAGTAGCAATAAAGATGGATCAGTTCCTATGGATTTTCATGCAAAATGTGATTATATACGGGAAACCATCACCGTAGTTAAAGTTAATACAGGTCAAATTATTGGGGGTTATAATCCAGTTAGTTGGAATATAGTTAATAGTAAATATTATCATTCAAATGATTGTTTTATTTTTAATATATCTAGTCATACAACGGCTAAAATAGGAAGAGCCGGTATTAATACTAATTCTATATTTTGTAATTCTGGTTACATGCCAACATTTGGTGGTGGGGCTGATCTTCGTATATATTCAGATAAAAGTGGATATTGTATTCCTAGTACTTATCCTGATATTGGTTTACCAACAAATTTCAATTTTAGTGTATTTGAAGTTTTTCAGGTTATTAGTAAAACATAAATATCAGATGAAAATTTTTTATTTTTTTAGCAACAATATATTAAATGTTTCATCATTTTTTTATAAATCACATTTATTTATTATTATCATATTTATTATTAAACAAAATAAACTTTGAGTGCAAATGTATCGTTTTTGGTTGAGTTGATGCGCTTTTTTTGATTGTAGAAATTCGAAGTGAAGTGATTAAACGAAAAGAAAATGTATAACATGAAAATTTATATTTTTTTGTATTGTAATTAATAAATAAATTAAAAAATATATATATTTATTGAAGTAATAATTTAAATTAAGAGAAAAGTATCCGATCAGGCATGATAATTACTACTCCAGACCCGTTCTATCGAGCAAGTATAAATCGTCATCCGCATTTCCACTTTCTTTGAGAGCAAAGGAAGATACATTTTTGTTTTCAGGGATTATAAGATTAAGTTTGATGGATATTCGGTCTATTATCTGGTTCTGTTCCCAACATTCTAATAAAACGGTAAAAATAGATTGTGAAAAAATGTTGCGGTAAAGTATTGTACCCTATTTTATACTTACTCTGATACAATTCGACGAATATAACATTCGTGTTTCGGTGTTTGGCATAGGCTCTTCACTTAAACTACTAAGAATACGTAATCTAAGAGCGCAATCATCTCCCGTCTTATATTTAAAAGGAGTTTTTCGACTAGAGTAATACTCCCAAGCTGTATTATATATCAGATTCTTCGGTTATACGATACGACTGATTCTCATAAAATCTAGGATCCATATAAGGTGTCACGCCATGTGCTCCGGTGTTGTTATCTGATTCTTTTAGACACGAACACCCAAAATCTGCTAATTTTATTATACCTTTGTGTCTTAAGACATTTTTTGGGTGCTAAAAAGAATGTATGATTTTCTTAACATCGTGTATCCATAAAATGGCACTTGCAATCTCTTTGACAAACCTTAATTGGTCCTCCCATTCAAAATTTATAGTTGTCCCTTAAATAATTTCCCTGTGTCCCGCCTTCTGCATATTCAAGAACAAGCAATCATCTAAATAAAAATATGCCAACGAAATGAAAAAAATTATCAATAAGATTTCATATTTGATAATTGTTGTTTTGGCATCGAATTTCGTAATTCCAAGGAATTGAATTATATTTTTATGATAATTGGCCGTATAAGTTAAATAAATCTAGAAAGGAAATGATTTGTAAATAATATGTAAGTTATATAAATAAGGTTATCGCAACACACCTCTTTATTGTGGACAAATTTTTAATTGCATATATTGTTGGCGTATTCCTCCAATTAGCGGTATAAACACTCTTTGAGATATTCTTAAAATGGTTAAGGTCTTGAGAAGTGAGAACCATAGCGGTGAATTGCCTTGATCTCTAATAGTTTATGTAGCTCAAATGCATATGATGCATATGACTGATTTACATCAAAAATGAAAAACTATTCATGATTCCAAAAATTTTATATAATGAGTTTCTTTTTGGGTTAAAAAAAAAAACATTTATATATAAATACGGCTTGATTTTAATTGTAGTTCTGTTTTCTCAGTTCTGTTTAATTTTATAAACTATAAAATTTTGGGTTTCCTGGTAACCAAATGTCGGAGTTAGTTTACATATTTTTTTAAGTAAAAAATGAAAAGCGAATATTTTAACGCCGAAATAAAGGCAAACTGTACCTTTGTAATGACACAATAGAAGAAATGGCTGAAGGGAATTACTTCGTGTATAAATTTGAACTTTTTTGGTACAAAATCCGAGGTTGAGAAAGGTCGTAAATAACAGTTTCTATATTGTCGTTAAGCAATAAAGCTATTAAATATGTCAGGATTTCTCGTTTTTTTTGAAATGTAGAAGGTAATTTATGACAGATGACCGAACTCAATAACGTAACGAAAGAAATATATTTTAGCGAGTAAAATTATCAAACGGAAGTGAAAAAGGATATTTCTCTGTGCACAGTCAATTGTCCACTTATCCCATTTATCTGTACTCCCGCATTTATGATAATAATCCTAATTGCAAACAGTTACATGACTTTATCTTTTATTATATTTAACTTTAATACTGTAACGGTTTGTATAACATTATATGGACTTTTCTAGTCATTTGCTACGATATCTCTCCTGAATGATTTTCTGCTGTACTCATCCCAACTCAAGCTACATTGTGACACGTCGTACATATTTTTTCGAATCCAAATCAGTACTATTTATACAAGTATAAATTTCCGTTTCTAGCATCTAAGGGGACTGCCAGAAATGACGTCATTTCCTAAGGGGGTTAAGACCATGATGATGTTACACATCTTCCATTTTTAGACACTTGTAGTTAATATAATTCTAGCCAGAATTATGTTTTAATTTTACATTTCCTAAAATGAATGATGACATGGGGAGGGGGGGGGGTCAAAAATCCTAAAATTTAAATTACGTCATTTCTGGCCATCCCCTAACATGTTATGACGTCATATCAATCGCAGAATGAAACTTAAAAATAAATGAGGAAGATGATATCATTGATCGAGATTGCTATTATATATGCAAGTTACTTATTTCGTCTACGTTCATCTATGCTACAGGCCAACCAGATTTAAGAAGAGTTTTCGCATCAAGAAATAGTCATTGATCCCAGTACACAAATATTATCACTCGAGTACTTTGACGTTTGTGTGATGTTATGTGATGTACGTAAAGAAAATATCTTTTATTAGAATAAAATGCTCGAAAAAGTAAGTCTCCCTTAAACGAAAATATAGGAGATCTAACAATGTTCGAAAATATACATTAAACGAAATCTAGGAACTAATATCGAATCTAGGCAAGTTATCAATCTTGTTTAAATCAAGCTTGTTTAAATCACAATCTTCTTCGCAATTTGACAAGTCGGAGTCTTCACTTTCCATTTTTTCGCTTATCCCTCCTTCTTTGGAATAAAAAACAGCTGATGCATTATTGTTTTCGGAATCAATACTTTTAAGTTGTAAATTTACTTGGTGTATATCTGATCGTTTATCCGGTTCGCATTCCCAACATCCTGTTCGAACGAATCAAATTTAGTTTACTACAAGAATTATTTCCTCAATTAATTTTATAACTTTATACTTACTTTGATATAGCCTAACAAATATAGCATTCGTGATTGGAACGGGCTCTTCTCTTACATTAAGGATTTCTAATGTAACAATATGAGGATCTCTTGTTTCAAATTTGAGAGGGGAGGAACGACTTGTCAACTCCCAGAACATTACACCTAAACTATATATGTCAGATTTCTCGTCTAACTTGTACGGAATTTATTTATCGAGCATCATAGGATCTACAAAAGGTATTACACCCATACTTGAGTGTTATAATAACCTGAGCCTTTTAGACATGAACAGCCGAAATCTACTAACTTGGCTGTATCTTTGTGTATTAAAATATTATTAGGGTGCTAGAAAAGAAAACGTTAGTCACAAGTTATAGTGATAGTGTATTAAGGTTATTAGACACTATGAATAATTACAAGATCCCCGTGTATGATTCCCTTTTTATCATGTAACCAACAAGCACTTGCTATTTAGTTGGCTCTTCCATTCAATAGTATTGTTCCTTAGATAACTTCCTAATGTCCCACCATCCACATATTCGAGAATAAGCGAATATTTTTTTCATCTAAGAAAATTACAACACGTTAACGAAATACTTAAATATAGGCATACGTAATTGTTACTCTACCTTCTAATTTTGTAACCACGAAATTGAATTATATTTTCATGAGAATTAGCCCTATCGTTAAATAACCCTAGAAAGAAAATAATCTATAAATAATTTATAAATAAGATAAAAAAATGTTGTTGAGAACACACCTCTTTGTTTTGTAATTGCACATATTGTTGACGTATTCTTCAGAACAGAGCAGATCCTCCAGAGCATAAATCCTGGAATCAATATTGTCCCCCAATAATCTATTCAGCCTATCGCTAAATAATCCTCCTATATAAAGTATTTTACGTATTGATGTGCGTATTTGGCGCGCATATTTGCATTGTACCAATATATAAACAAATGTTAGCCTCCTGTGTAATATAAAAAAAAACCATTTTGATATAAATATCCTTTTATTTGGAATTTGTGGCGCAGCAGAATTTGTGGCGCAGCTCCAAGTAAATGTAGAACGCTAGAAAGTCCAAAGAAACGCTTTGGTAAGAGATGAAAGTATTATAAAATAAAAGGGATTCGTGGTATAATTTTCTAAAGCCAAAATAAAAAGTGTTCATAGAATGAAGAAATAAAGCATATATTTTTTTTTTAACACTATCTTATATGAAATGAAAGTGAATAAATAAGAGTTTCATTGTAACACTAGGCGTTAAATAATAGCTAGTGAGTCTTATATTTCTCTCTTTTAGTCAAATTATTTTTATAACAAATGTTCGTAAAATTTAACTACAGGGAAAGAACAACTCGAAAGGCCAAATTGTTGATAAATTTGGTATTGTCATTATTAAATGGCGTGGTGGCGTAATTAATTTTATTTTTCCGGATATATGGGTCGTAGTTTTTATCCTTAAAAAATATCCAGACAGAATCATTCAATTTTGATAATAATATCTGATAGTACTTTCACTATTCACTATTATGATTTTTTAATTTTGTTTTTATGTTATAATGATAATTTGGACAAAATTTATAGCGCCAGTTGAATTTAAAATTTTATTTTATTAAAAAAGTGATACTGATTTATTTAAATATATGTCTTAGTTTAGTTAAGCTAATACTACGAATTTTATTTGTTAAATTTATATATTTCCTATTCGGATTTACACCTATATTATTTTGCAAAGAATATTAATTATAAAATTTTTTGTTTCGAGCATTTATTTGTAAACGTAAATTAACAACGCATAACTTTCTAAATGTAAATATTAGAACTTGAATAGTATTGATTTTAATATGATATTAACATATATTTTTCTGTAGTTTTTATCATCCTATTGTTATGATTATAGCTAACCAGAATGAGTTAAATGAGTTGTATCTGGACGTTAGTTTTTTTTTATTTTATCATACTACTGTACTATACAATTAACGAGAATTGGTGTATCACTAACGACATAAATGTCACATTTTTATTCCGTAGTTAAATGATGGACTAATATTGAATGGATCATATTAGCGATCTACTAGAAGTCTAGAAAGAACAGCCACGAATAGAATATGGAATTAATGACTGACTAAATAAAAAGAATATGTGAGTGTAAAAAATATTGATATGCATAATTCGTCTAAAATCATTTTTTAACGTCATATTACAAAAATTCCAGATATTCCACGTTTTCTGAAATCAAATCAATTTTTTTTAAAAAAAAAAATTATTGAAAATAGATCTAAAATAAAAATGATTTTAGATTAAAATTTAATGTTTAAACTAAGGAAACATTAAATTCTGTAATTTTATTGTTTTGTTTGTTTATTTCATTATACCTTTTAAGTGTTTAGTTTTTACATTTTAAACTTCTCTATAAACATGTAAGATGATATCTTCTAATAAAGTTTCACCTATTCTTCTAAAAAAAGATCCTTTACATTTTTTAGCTTTGCAAAATAAATACTGTACGTGTGAAAAATTACATAAATCTACGGTATACGACTATACGAGTGCATTTATATTTTTTTTTTATAAAAAATAGCGTATTTATAAAAAAGCATATTTATTTAATTAATAATATTTAATAATATAAAAACGTATTTATCCAATTATTAAACATTTAGAATAAATTTATAAATAGTGAAAAACTTCAAAGTCTAAGGTCTAAGAGATCCACTTTGTAAGTAAAGAGAAATTCTAAGAAGGAAAAGAACATTAAAACAATGTTCTTAAGATCTTCACACTCTTATATACTTACCACCTCCCTTCCAACATTCCAACATTCAAAACCGGCGCCTATAAAAAAAATTTAGGAAATATTAGTAAACTTTTTTAAACAAAATGAAAAAAAACTAAAAACTCTTTCTTATTTCAACTAAATAACATAAGGGGTGTCCTCGAAATTCGAAAGTTTGCAGACTATGATCCCTTTTGTTTATGTGATTTTTTCATAATCCACACCGTGGTACCCAGTTACTCTAGGTAACGTTTATTTATCATAATTGGTAATCAGGATCAAGTGTTTGCTTTCATAACGTAAACAGATTTTACGACCCTTTTTATTACTAAAAAAGGAGAACGGCTGGGAAACACTTAAATTCTCTTATACTAACATTGTATTGATATGAAATTGACAAAAAAAAATTTTTTTTTAACTAATTTTAGTCACTTTGACCAATAGAAATGTAAATTTTTAATTTTTTTTTTTAAATCGATGTCGATCAAATGATCAGTGATCATAAGACATTCGACCAACAAGAATCCTTAACTTTTGTAACATGATGCTAATATTATGAATAAACATATTTACGTGACATTCAATACAAAATGGCGCAATAATTCCAAAAATATGTAAAATGAAATATTGCAAATATTGCTTGCTCTTGGCCAGTTATTAACTTACAACTGTTTCTCCTGAACACCACGTAGAGGTGGCAAGCTTCGTTCAGGGTAAAAAAGAAATCACTTACCTAT